TCCGCATCTATCAGGGCTGCCAGAGCAAAACACACAAATCAGTGGCGCGCGACGCTCCAGTATTTGCCATCCCTTTGAGATCACCCTGGTCCTAGGCGTCCTTCTCCAAAAAAATAGCCGGCACTCGCAAATGCTGAGAACCAAGCTGAAACCAGTACCATTGTTCAACAAAATTGATCTGAATAGGACACCCACGACAAGGGGCTTGTGGTAAAGTTAATTAAGTGAGTGTTGTTTTTGGAATTCGGAACTCGCACTCCAAAAGCGGGAGTGAAGTGCTGCAACGCAACTACTCCATGGGCTCGATCCTGGAAATAGGCAGTTGTGATGGTTCTTAAGGGTTGGACTGTCTCCAAAAATAATTGCCAACAACACAATCTTGGTCTGGACGTACTACATAAATTCACCAATGGGGACACCAAAGAAAGAAGCACTCACTATGCTCGCAAACTCTGCTCGTGAATTGTCCAACTTTGCATTCCTAAAGAGATATGTGGGTCAGCAATATTTCCGCAATTGCATGGACCCATATATGAAACCCTGGTCTGCTTCTGCACTTCCCTTCGCTTGAGGGGCAACCAAAGAAAGGTTCCCGCCATGATAATGTCCCTTCATGTGTATATATATATGGTCACCCCCCCCTGCATGACCTACCGTTGTCTTTCAAAAAGTCGTTGGGGACCATTAGCAGACAATAAAAAAGTGAAAAAACACCTGTTTTTTATGGTTTTCGATTAAAAAACAACACAGTCAACCATTGAAAAATTAAGAAAAACCAGTGTGGTTTGATGGTTTTAGCAAAAAATGTGCAAAAACCCATGTTGTTTTTAGAAAAAACAGGAAAGCATTCAAAAAAACAAGTGTAAAAACTGATATGTTTTTCAGATAGATCCCTAAGTCAAAAACTAAGAATTCCCTAGGTTTTTGATGGTTTTGCAGTAAAACCTTCAGAATTCCTTGGGATTTTAGCATTTTTCACATAAAACCAAGAAAACCTCGAGAAAACCAAGAATCCAAGAATCCAAGATTTTCAGGTAGATGTTTGGTCCACTACAAAATCTTGGATTCTTGGTTTTCTCGAGGTTTTCTTGGTTTTCTTGCTTTTACTTGGGAATTCTTGGATTTCCAGCAAAAAACCAAGAATTACTAGGGTTTTTTTTGGATTTCCAGCAAAAAACCAAGATTTACTAGGGTTTGTTTGGATTTCCAGCAAAAACCCAAGAATTACTAGGGTTTTTTTGGATTTCCAGCAAAAAACCAAGATTTACTAGGGTTTGTTTGGATTTCCAGCAAAAAACCAAGAATTACTAGGGTTTTTTTGGATTTCCAGCAAAAAACCAAGATTTACTAGGGTTTTTTTGGATTTCCAGCAAAAAACCAAGAATTCCCAAGTAAAACAAGGAAAACCAAAAAAACCTCGAGAAAACCAAGAATCCAAGATTTTGTCGTGGGCCAGACATCTACATGAAAATCTTGGATTCTTGGATTCTTGGTTTTCTCGAGGTTTTCTTGGTTTTCTTGATTTTACTTGGGAATTCTTGGATTTCCAGCAAAAAAACAAGAATCACTAGGGTTTTTTTGGATTTCCAGCAAAAAACCAAGAATTCCCAAGTAAAACAAGGAAAACCAAGAAAACCTCGAGAAAACCAAGAATCCAAGATTTTGTCGTGGGCCAGACATCTAACACAACAGAAATACCAGCACCAACTGAAGACGAAGAAGAAGAACCACAAAAAGATAATTTTGAAAAATTGAAATCTTAATAATAGCATATATAATGGGTGTTGGTAAAAGTAAAAATAATGAAAATAATAGTTTGGAAGACATTAAGAATTTAAGTATAGAGAAAAAACACGAGCAGACACTTTAATTACTAAATCTCTTCAAGAATGTGTGACACGAATTGAGACACTAGAGAAAGAAAAATCTGACAAATTAATATATAAACTTCCTGCCTTACAATTTTGCAATGCTTCGTTAATTTAAATTAATAATATTAACATATAATAATATTATTGATTGCTATCATAATCTGTCATTTTATCCTCTGGTATTGTTGTTGAAGTAGTACTACTTATATCATCTATTAAATCTTCTTCATCAACAAAATTATTTTGACATCTTAATAATTCCTCGTCTGTTGCCCTTCTTTTCAATACTTTATAAAGTTTATGTATCCAAGAATTAGTATGAAAATTACAATTACCTCTACGATAAAATCCACCACATCTACATAGTTTCATTGGCATATTACTATATTATATTAAATTAGAATATCTTTATTCATCATTCGTAATTTGAAATGCCTGTTCAAATCTGATATGAAACATTTTGTTAATGTCTTTAGCATTCATATTCACGTAGAAGAAACTATAAGGTGCGTCATTAACGGCTTGATGATACATATCTAATAATTGCTGTTTATCAACAATGGCGCTATTTTCTTCAATAAAACTCATTAACTCACTTGCATTTTTCAACCTAATGAACTGGCATTTAAACGAATGATAGGCACTAAAACATTATATTTTGTGTTGAACAAATTACACTTACTGCATCGTGCCTGCCTCTTGTAAAAGTCCGTGTAATAATTTACTATATCTAACAAATTTAGGATCGTCTGCGTGGTCATCCACAACGATGAATATTGAATGCGTGGTCATCTATAACGATTAATATTGAATGTAGTTTCTTTATCTTTTTAGACTTCATATAATTAATTATTTTCTTCTGTCTTTCAATTACATTTTCTAAATCACTTGGATTATAATTATCAAAATCAATTTGTTCTTTTTCATCATCCACGTGCAATTCATCCCTGATGTATTGTTTAACTTCTGTAAAAGTTGGGTCATTATGAACGCTGGGGGAAAATATAAATATTCTTGCAAATGAATTTCTATAAACATTCAAGATAAGGTTTTGGACTAAAACTGTTTTGCCTCCCGTCGATGAAGCAACTATAATACTTCTAATTGGTAATTTTAGCACGTGCTCATATTTGGATTGTTTGAATTCATATTCAGTTATGTTTATTGGTTTTATTATTGGGACATCTGTCATAGTTGATATTAAAGAAATATAGAAAATTATATTTAAAAAAAAAAACTTGTCATTAATATTAAATGGAACATCATTATGTTATGAGTGGCGGTGAATAACATAATGGAACAGGTTTTCCATTGCTTCAATCAATAAGCATTGAAGATAATTAGTTTTGTGTTTTGCTCGCGTGTGCAATGAAAACCAAGTGCTGTGCCCCACCAATAGCGATGAAGGGAGGGGCAAATGATAGATGAGATCCTGCTTTTTTTAGCTAAAAGGTAGGTCATGCAGGGGGGGGTGAGCATATATATATATATGGGTTTGATCTTTTTAGTGCTACCCCTTTTGTGGTTGGTTCAAAGGAAACCAGAAGAGACACGCACCATTTTGGAGTTGCCCCAAAAAAGGACACACCCATATTATATATATATATATGATCCCCTCAACCAAAAACTTCGCAATGGCTCGCTTCTGCTGGCTTCCATGGAACAAATGGGCATGTACCCTCTTCCAAAAATAGTGGAAGTGGGGTTCCGGGGGGCTTCCCAAAACCGAAAAGTAACTCCCCTTCACGCCAAGTGGCCAGCCAGCCTTGGAAGGAACGAGCACCCCGCGAGGCCAAAACAAGCCGAACCTCCCACCAACTAACATGGAAGTGCAACAAGGCCCTTTCCAAGAGGAAAGTAGTCTTTCTACAGGGGTCGCGCACGTCCATGTTAGCTGGTGGGAGGGTACCTACTTGGGAATTGCAAACATAGATCAAACATGTCTCAAAAAAAAAACTAGGGGTTCGTGAGGAGTTGTCGCAACTGACATCTGTGAAGCAGGCAGGAAGCGATGCTTCGCGTCTTCACAGTTCTGGTTGGGATCCTTTTTGGGCTTCCCTTTGAAACCACCCAAAAGGGGCTCCTAATGTCAGGACATACGTACTGCTCATGATTCGAACAAGACCCAACGGCAGATCTTGCCTGAATCCAACCGTCGACTTTAGTCTCCAACGCTGCTCCCAAGAAAAAGGGGGAACAAAGGGCACGAGCCGAAGTCTGCCCCCTAGCTGGAGCTTCAATTTTCGACCCGCAGCATCCATGGTCCTTGGCTTTGGGCCTATGCATCCCTTCACCGCTGTGGATGTTCAGACTTCTCCCTGAAAGGAACACGACACCTGGGATGCTTCGTAGGACTTTTGTCGGGCTCCGGTGTACTCCTGGAGGGTTCCACACCACACAAAGCAGTGCAAGCGATCTTGCTAAACGGGCAGGGGCATGATAGGGAGAGACGAAATACTGGCCATGTCCCACAGACCCAGGACATCAGAGAGAGATAGAGAGAGAGAGAGACAGAGAGTGAGGGAGAGATAGAGAGAGTGCTTGTGGTTGCCTACTTGGGAATGTGTCCACGCAAACCCCGATCACTGTCAGCAATCCGTTGCCACCCCCTGAGCACATTTACCAAAAAAAAAAAAAACAATGCAGCGAATAGATGTCCATGACCTGCATCAAACAAAACGAAATTCAACAATAAAGTTTGCAATGCTGATCCTTTCAGAACCCCCCCCTCCCCTAAAGGCGGCACACAAAGATTTAGATTGCCCCTTAACTTATCTTTCTGTTCGAGGCAATCTTTTCCCGCTCATGATGAGAAGTGCGGACGATCAGCCAACGAAATTTCAATTCTTATTGAATTCATCCATCACCATCCCTTCAATCAGGTGGGCGGTACACCCTCTGGCGTTTCCGCCTCCTCCAAGCGCCTTGCCATCGAAAGCCTCCCAAGACATGAATGAATAGGGGGGTGTTTCTTGGGTTTCGTGGGCAATCATCACTTTTTGAGGGCCCCCACCCATCCCCCTATCCATAAACGCCATAAACTGGGCTTCATTTCTATGGGGTCAACATTCTGTGGCGATCCTTGCCGGGTTCTCGGTGCAAGGCCCCAGGAGTTCTCGGCGCCCCGGCTCTGCAGCATCGCCACCACGCTGTCGTAGGCGTGGGCCGGCTGCTGCACCGCCAAGGGCGCCAGCCCCGCCGCGATGGCCGCCACTCGGCCGTCCACCTGGGCCCAGGCGCGCCAGGGTGAAATGCTTCAGGAACAGGAGGCACTACATCTACCTGAAGGACATGTGAACTTCATGTAAATAGCAGGGGAGGACTTTGTGCTGGCCACCTGACCTGCACCTCACCAACACGCATAGCGCTTACAGATCTTATTTTGCGTAGCGCTCACAAAAGACCCAGCGACTCCAGCTAGGTCCTCCTGTAAATAGGTTAGAAGAAGGGTACCCATTTTTCTGTATGTCTATTGTAGTTGGGGAACCCTCCCCCAAAAAAGGGTAAAAGGGCATCATCTAGAGGCACTATGACAATTGAATATGGTCATATATATATATATGTATATATATATATATACACGTATATATATATATATGTATATCCGTATATAGCGATACAATAAAAGCTCAGCTACGGCAGCCTCATATTTCCCTTTGTTCTGCGGAGCACTTCACCCATATCCCGCCCTCTCAAGCCTCCACGTTGGGACCCGTGCGAGGTGCCAGGAACGCCTCAGCGTTCCAAATATCAGAACTTGATTCACTCCGTATCCCACGCAAACCGCGTTTGCATTTTAGAGCCACGGTCAAAAATTGGGGCCCAATTTGTGATGCGGGCCCCTTTAAAAGGCAAAAGGCGGCCTTGTGCCCGCACCGGGTCCAAGGACCGCACAGGGAGAAGGTTTACCCACCTTTAAGGGGGATGGGGGGTCTTAAAAATTGAACCGACGCAACACTTTTCGACCTACGCATGCTGGGGATGCTCTGGCGAAACTGCTTCATGAGACCGAGCGGCACTGTCAGCAACTCAGAGGCATCTACTGTTGGCCCCAAAAGGACGGAAAGCCAGGGCCACTTGGTGCTGTTGCCCATGATGGACCAAAGTGGTGGTTGCATCATTCCATTCCAGCCGAGTAGCCTCCACTTACTTTGCTATCTGAATTGGTGGATTGGAGTTTATTCCAAACCACCAATCCAAGCTTGATGGTCAAAGCCAAATTCTGTGACCCGAACAGCGAACAACCGAGGCGCCGGAGCCGCAAAAACTGCCGCGAGGACCAGCAGGACAATCCCAGTGGAGCCTCGGCGAGGATTCTCACTCGGAGCTGAGAAACGCGACGGGGCGATGTCACTTTTGCCAACGCCCCAGAAGCAGCGGATGACCCGAATACTCACTGGGAAAAGGCCCCTGAAGCACCTTGACCCAATGAAGCGTACGGCTGAGCGGTTTGGCAGCATGGCGCAGATGCACTTTGAGCCAGCTATCCTTGCGATGACGATAAGCCGATATTGGCTTCGCCAATCCGGCCAGAGGCTATTTGGGAGAACGGCGTGTTGCGAGCGGGCCATTGAGGTCCCATTTAGGTTGCTTCACACCCAACAAGCAACGCCTTGTGCTGCTCATCCAGGTTTGATATGGACAAGCGAGGATGCAGCCAGTCCAATCAAAATCATTGAGAGAGGATTGAATCAGGGCTCCCATGTGTTTTGTTGCCACTGGATAGCTTGCACCCATGGTGCAGGCGGCGCCTGCTTTTTGGCCACGGTTTCGACTTTCTGGGCACGTGCTAATTTTTGGCTTTTTCTGGGCGTCGCTTGCCAATGATACGCACGCCTAGCACTGCACCTACACGCAAAAATTATAAGCACATCTGCTCAAGAACATACGCCTGCCAGATAATGAGCACTCCCGCTCAAGACCAGCTGTCGGCGCCGACCTACGCTTGCAGCACTGTGTAGCATGTCCTCAGCTGAAAGTTTTCACAGCACCTGCGCCTAGTGCTCTTTCAGGACTGGATGTCCCGGCTGGTCTCAAGGATCGATGCGCGAGGGCATTCCATTCAAAACCCTGAGCCTCGAGCATTTTGTTTTCCAGTGCGCTTTGCAAATGTCTCGGAAAATGAACTCTGCTGACAAGTTCCTGCGCGAACTCTGCACACAGGGCTGTCGAAGCTGAAAGTCGGAAATCACAGTGGTTTTCTGCGCGGCATTTTGGGATGAACACATGTTTGACAGCAGGTGCACGGTCTAGTCGAAGCTTGCATGTGGCAAACTCAGTGGCGTGTCAGGATTTATGCACTACCTTACTCAACCCGGCCTCGCGGTTGCCAACAACACACGAAACACCAGCGGAACTCAGCTTGAGAGACTGTCTCAAAGTTGCCCAAAGACGCAAGTTTGAGGTCGCGTCAGTTCAGTCAGTTCAGCCACAATCTCTTGTTCTAGGAACTCAGCCACGAACCACAGTGATTTACAGGGCTTCCCTGCAAGAGTTTGCAACGCACCAGATTCAGCAACCCTTAACCCTTCGGGTGTATGTCAGCTTGGCCTTCTCCAACCACACGGGAGAAGATGCCAACAAACCATGAGAAATGGCAAAGACCACCCCTCACAAATAAGACTTGGGTTGGGACCATCTCCCATAGACACTTCGTTGTTGATAACTTTCAGTGGGGAAGCCACCAACAAAAAGAAGTTTCCACCGGACAACAGTTCATGCCTTGTGATACCGACGTGGGGTTTCCAAGACTTTGTCACTTCAAAGGAGATAGTTTCCCTTGATCTCACAGAAAGTGGCACTCAAATCTTGAGTTGTCCACATGCGACTGGGCAGTTTCGAACCTCGCGTCGACTCTCTATATAAGGCGGTCACGGGCCATGGTTTTCAGACGAAGACGCGGTCGCGTGCAGAGCTCGGGCGAAAAACAGCTGCGTGTGCGCTTGTTGACCACGGGCTGACCACGTGTTGGCTAAGAAGAGCAAAATGCTTAAAACAAGGGGCGATATTTTTCAGAATGTGGTTGTGCAATGGGTGGCACTGGAACATAACTAACAATCTGAATCCTGCTGTGCCATCTGATCCATTACCAAGCAAGCTGACGCAAAAAGGACACATATGTGTCAAGATAAATTGGATGCTGCTAATTTCCGATAAAAAGCCAAACACAAAGAAGGTGTCTTTGAAATGTCCCTACTCTTGCCCCTTCCAAGCAAGCCAAATGTGAACCCAAAGGGCCTCCCCCTTTGGCCCATGGTCGAGACCCAAGAGCCGAGATCGCGGCTCGGCGTCTCCAAGACGCAGTCTCACAGTTCCAAAGACCCCATCGCAAGAAGATTCGACCAAGTAAAAACAAACGCCGCAAACCCATGTTACCCCCCAAAAAAGCGCCACAAACCCATGTTATACCAAAAAAAGAGCCACAAACCCATGTTATACCAAAAAAAGAAGCCACAAAGCCATGCACCCCCACGTGTTTTGGATCCCGCCAGCTTGGGGCAACCCTGGCCTTTCTCGGTAAGCAATGGCCGCCCGTGGCCTGGATCTGGGCAAAGCTGGGCTCCAGCGAACAGCCTGGGCGAAAGGCTTAAAAAGTGGCAACTTGGGCGGTTGGGCGTGTATGTTTGAGGCATATTTGATGTCGGTTCTCAGGGACGGCAGAAGAAAAACCACCAGTTTTTTGGGGTGCCCGGATTTTGACACGGATCCGGTTCACCTAAGTTGGTTGGGGAATCTAGGCAACTTAGCTGGGAGGATGTTGAAGAAGATAAGACTACCCTCCCCCCGACAAACATTGCTTGGTGCACAGGAATCTCACACACCCTTTGGGATGTTTAAAAAAAAGAAGCAAACTGTGTCTTAGGGCACCCTTTCGCATGTCCAGAAGGACGACCCAAGGAAGCCAAACCGCCCTTTCGGGGTCCCTAAATGGGTGGTGCACCTACCCCACAATGGTACCATTGGCTTTGACCCACAGCCGAATGGCAACAAGCTGGATATTGAAAGGAAAGATGGCTGAGCAACATGAAGCATCCACCCGGATTCGTCCGAAGCTCGCGCGCCTGGCCAATCGCTCAGGCCAGCCATGGCAGAGGCAACCGGCTCAAGACCAAGGTGGCACTGGACGAACATGGCAACACTCCTCTACCAAAAAAAAGAAACATGTGGCTGTGGGTCAAAAATCGGTACCCCAAATGCAACCCTGGCAAGTGGAAACATGGACCAAAACCTGCGGTCCCCTCGTGGTTTAATTTTGACCCATACCCCCTCGAACCAGCGGTGTTGAGGAATCTCCAAAAAACGAGAAGCCCCATCATTTGTGCCATCCAGGGGTGAATCCTTGAACCTGAGGCTGCGTGGCTGAGGGAGGTAAGCACCTTGGATCTCCAGGGGTGCGTCACAAAATATGAAAGCGGAAATGGGTGGCTTTCTTTAGTTGCCTTTTACCCCCGAAACGGGTACCTGAAACTGCACACCCCCGGTTTATTTTTGCGCGAGGTGTGAAAAGTAGGGACTCCCCGTTTGGAACCTGGGTCACAGTGTGCCGCCTTTCAAGAAACTCCAACAAGGAGTCAACCGCGCATGTGTCTGGACCGATGTTTCACGAAACCAACCAGCCCGCGGTAAGACACTGGCGAAATGGGGAGGATTCTGGTGGTTGATTGAGCATCGGAAAAAAATCATGCGAAATCTTTAGCTATGGCTGGAGTCCATTAACCGGATTCCAACATTCTCGGCGATTCATCTTCGACAGTTTTCATGGAAAGCCAACATCTGACAGGCGCTTCTCCACCCCTGTCCCATATGCAGCCAAAAAACTTGCCGGCCTGACTGCCCTCCTGCAAAAAAAATAGCACGAGCCCTCCTTGGGGGTAAATTAAGCTCCGCGAACGTCCTTCTGTGAAGAATCGATTCTTCCACTTTGCAAGTTATGGTAATATGCCAAAGGCCGTGCACCAAAGCGGTCAATCCCTATGTCTGCATCGCTGCAAGTCCCTTGGTGTCAGAGCCGCAAGCCCAAACCCAGCTTCCCCAACTGCCTGGAGTCTCCATGACCCTTCAAAAATGGGGTCAATACCCAAAATAATGGAATGGACCCATTTTTAGAGGGTCATGGAGACTCCAGGTGCCCAACTTCCCCAACGGCTGCTTTTCCGGCGCGCAAGTTTCTCGCGGCGCCGGAGGTTTGAACCCTAGGAGCAGTCCTGTGGCCTCACGATCGCTATATACTGGATCGCTTCCCGGTGCGTCGGCTCAGGAGTGTTACACCAGGGTCATCTCAGGCTGGTAGCTGGCCCCATGGCTGTGAGATGTGCCAAGCTTCTTTGTGACTGCAGTTTTCCTTCTAGCAACACAGATTCCTGCAAAGCTGACAAGAAAGGTGACAGTGAAGGTGAGCGCATGACGAAACCCATGCATGTACCCATTGCAGCACTTGGGGGCCAAACAGCCAGGAGCAGCATTGCGACCTCAAATGCGCAGTCACACAGCCAAGTTCCCAGCTCCTCCGACAGCGACTCCATCCCTCTCAATGGAAAGGATGATATGTGTCAAAGCAGCTTCCACAGAGCATCTGAAAGATATGTTCAGGTCGTCCGGAAGTCAGCTTCTCTGAAAGCTTCCCATCTGGCCGCACCCGTCAACCCCGACCAACTGCGACCTGGGGACCTCCGGAAACATGGGCGAGAGAACACAAAGGAGGCAAACTCGTGTTCGAACGGACAGTTGGTCGGAATGGCAAAAGGAACCAAGCCCAAGGTCCCCTTCCTGTCTGGCTGGTTCGGCGAATCCGAAGAGCCGAGAGCTGGGCCGAGCGCATGGACTTGTGTCTCCTTGTACTCCTGGCAAGGCCGGAGGTGTAGCCTCCCTAATGGCAAGAATGGTATGCGCCAAACCCTACCCAGCGATTCCATCTGCCTGTAAAGCAGGTAACCAAGAGAGCCACCCTTCAAAACTAAAGGAAAATAGCTGCTTGCCTGCTATGGATGGATGGATGGATGGACGGACGGACGGACGGACGGATGGGTGGGTGGATGGATGGACGGACGGACGGATGGATGGAGCGACTGGGGGAGTCGGCCTTACAGCGTGGCCCCTCCTTCTGCATCGCAGTCGCCCCTCCGCAAGCGTCATCGGGCAACTTCGGTTGGAGTTCAACATGCCGCTGTCCGTCTATGGGGAAAGTATGAAAGTGGGCAGCGCTATGCTCTCGTCAGGCACCCGCACCCAGCATGGCATTGATTGCCCATAACAATGCGGGATCCACTGGATTCAGGCTGTATCCTTCTGCAGGCTCAAGAGAACCACAGTGAAATCAACAAAGACTCATGAGCCGCGGGACTTGCGTGAAGGTACGGGTGGCTGGCTGTGAACGTGCGGGGTGGCCTTGAAACGGGCAGCAGTTTGTGAGGCTTGCCCTAGTTATGGCCATGCCAGGGAGTCCACAACACAAGTGTCCTACCAGGGATATGGCTGATGCATTCCGCGTCTCAGTTTGATGGCAGCCGAGCGGCAATAGAAAGCCGGCTCCCCTCATCTCAGTTCAAATCGACGGAGCCTCATGTGTGTGTGTGTGTGTCTCAGGAACATGGATACGTGTCCCAATGTCTCTGATGAACCTGGAGATGGTAAAGCTGGGAGAAGGCCTTGAGTTCAGAATTGGGACTTTCCACACTGACCAGACTGAATACATGCATGCGCGCGTTTGGGCGGGGGCGGGTTCGAGTATATTTGATCTGATCTTCAGCGTGTTCCTTGTTTTTGTACAAAATGTTCGACCTCTTGTCTGGTGTTCATGTGAGGGAACCACAAGGAAAGACGACCCCCTGTTCCGGAAGACACTCTACAGTTGTGTTCCTCGGGTTCCATGCCCACCGGGGGCAACGACCAGGTCCCTGGCAGAGAAGCATCTAGCAAGTTCTTCCGGGTCAAAAAGAAACCCTCCACCCGTGGCTCACGCCTCCTCGGGCTGCAGGTACTCCCGGCTCTGGGTGTCGAAGAAGACAAAGTCCACGCAGAGCTCCTGCCGGCCAAGAAGGCACAGGAGACAGGTCCTGTAGATTCTCTTGGGGGTGCACATCACTTGCCAAGTTTAGCGTGCTTGAAGGGGACTAGATCAGAAGCTTGCAGGAAACCCGTGCTCTTCTGGAAGACAATGGTGTAAGGGGGTGTGCATGTACCCTTCTGTGTGTTGGTGCGACAGCAATTCACGAATGCATCATGATCTTATGATCCATCTGACGTGTCCAATGATTTTGAGAGCTGCTTGCTTTCTGTGTGGTGTTTGTATTCGAACCAGCTGGCTGATGCTTGGCAAGTCCCCAAACTTACCCGTTTACTCACTGGTTTGTGTTCAAAATGACCATCCCCTGCTCCCTGTCTCATCCCTGAAAAGCCGCCAGCTCCCCCCACTCCGCCAGCAACAAACATGGAAAGGAACGGAAACTGAAAATACCACCACCAAATCTAGAGAACAAGCATATGGTTGAAAACATGCGAACGCAAACAGAAAATGGACACCTTCGAAACAAATGAACCGCACAACCCCACCCCACGGGTCCCAGCTGCCCACCTCGGGGTCGCTCGCCCTGGGCAAGTCCCCCAGCGCCGTCTTTGCCTCGGGAAAGCCTTTCTGGCACGTGCGATGCGTCGGCAGGTTTTTCAGGTAGCTTAAAAAGGAAGCCAAAGGAAACCAAACAAAAAGAATATCCGTAGTTTGACACGGACCCATGTGGACCCTCACCCTTCCACAAGACACAAAAGTCCTTCTGGTGCACCAATTTCAGGAATGGGTGTGCGAAATGCTAATCAAAATGCGAGTAGCACGTAGCGGCTGCTAGAGTCAGCAGCTCGCCAGTGGATCATATTTTGGTGTCTGTGATTCTTGAGGGTACCATTGCCGCCCTTGGTGCAAAGAGAAGTCGACCGGAAACCCCGCCATGTTTGTGGGTCCTGTTTTGATACATACCCATTTTACTGCTTCCAGCTGGGCACTCCAACGCGGGACAGGAAGGAGCCTCTATGTACCTCACGAGAGAGTTCTGTCGGTCAGCTCGGGCATATCTCAAGGCACACCGCCAAATCTTGGTGCAAGTCATCCAGAATCTCCTATAACCTATGATTCCGGGCCGGCCAAACAGCAAGTGCAGGGTGTCTGAAAGGGCTTGAAATGGTTGACCTTCTCACATCCCGTTCCCCCAAAGTCTCATGACAAGGCAGCTGTCCGCATGAATTCTCGATCATCAAAGCGACCTCCTCAAGTAACTGGGGGGAAATAATCTCAGTTGACTTGATTTCAACGCAGTCGCCCAGTCTGGACGTCTGTATGTCCTCAAATCGCAACCAAAAGGAACTCGACCATCCTTCCAAGGACCTTCCTCATCGGTGAGCTCCTTTCAATCCAAACCCCAAGCCCCCTGGAGCTCCAAATATCCCGTTAGTCCTCGAGGACTTCTCGGATTCTTCTTTTTGAGGCAGACGAACACGGCGCACACTGTACAGCTTCGCGCTCTTCAGCGTCTTCCGGAGCTGGCACGCTCCGGTGGCCTGAGCACGAGGGGAGCAAACAGCGCATGGTGTTCTTCTTGGAACCCAAAAAGTGCCCTCACAGAAACTTCCTTACTGAGTTGGACCCCATTTGCTTTCTTATTGAGTCATCTATTCATTCATCTATTTATCTATTTATCTATGTATTTATTCATTTACTTACGTATTTATCTATATATTCATATATCTATGCATCTATGTATTGATCTATTTATTTATTTATCTATCTATTTATTGTTTACTTATTTATTTATTTATTTACTTATTTGTCTATTTAAGAGTTATTTATTTATCCTTTTTTATTTTTTTGTTGATTTATTTATTTGTTGGGGGGAGGGCTCTTCTGATAGAACCCCAAGACGCATGGGAGAGGGTCGTAACCACTCTTCCAAACAAGGCCGGTGATTGCTGTGGGCAAGGGGAAGCAAGTCCACCAAATCCATCCGAATGTGTGAACCTCAGGGCTCACAATTCGGCATCCAGCGATGTGGAGCTTTGACACAAGAAGCCCCACGGGACATCGCTTGATAAAGGTCACAAGGAAAACCACGCAACCTGCCATTGTCATGGAACCCACCAAAAGGTGCCATTAAGAAAAATGGCATCCAAAGGAGGGCGCTGTTCATCTCTGGCGGGCGGTTGCAAACCGAATCTCCGGCAGTTCCTCCGGGAACAGCACTTTGCCCATTCTATTGATCTCCCCGTTCTGAAGCTACCTTCCTGCTGTTGTTCAAAGAAAATCCACACCAACCATTTTGGAGCTTTCCCAATTCATCAAAGTCATCTGGACATGGGCCAGCTTTATCCAAGCAGCCTGACCCCTTCGACTCAAGCGAGATCCGTGCGCCGCACGTTCAAGGAGAACAGCGCCATCTCTTCTGGGAAGACCTTGTTGACCTGCAAACTGCGCGAGCGAGTTTTTTCAAAAGTCAGGTGCTGCACAAAATGCATCGGCGGACATGCATGCTGCAGAGTTCTGGCGTATCTGAATTCAGGGTCCCCTTTGGGGTGTTTCAAAAGAAAGGCCAAAAAGACAACCACTATTTTGCAGCTGCCCTTTTTGAAGATACCCCCAATGTGCAAGGAAGGGACCCGGACAGAGCTCAATTTGTGCCGCCTCGGGGTGGAAACAGCTCCCCAAAAGGGAAAGATGACCATTTTGTCAACCAATTCCTTGGGAATAACGATGCATGCGCTCAAGGCATGTCGCTGAAAGACGTGCAGTCGTGGGCTTGATGCAAGCAGGGCTGTTTGGGCAACCAAGAAACATGGGGACAAGCGCTCATTGCATCGCATTTGACACAAATAGAGAAAGAGAGAGAGCGAGCGAGCGCGCTAGAAGGAGGAGAAAAGGTGGCGGTGGCATCCCTCGCCCACGCACACACTAACCAGTCAGCCAGTCAACCAAGCAGCCAATGGTGGAGGAGACCTCCAAATCCCAGCTCTCGCCCCTCGCTCCGCGCGAATCTCCCTTACCACGCCTTCCGGGCGCCGTCGTTGCCCTTGGCATGCTGAATCCTAAGTTCGAAAGGCTCACAGCTGCCAGTGAGTCAAGGGCCAGTGACAAAACGAAAGGCCGAAAACATCCATTTGGTAGTAATGTGCCCTTCCAAATACCCTAAGGTCAAGCGGGGAGCCCCAACAGCATCGTAAATCCTGTCAAGACCTCGCGTCATTGTCCAAGACACATCTTGCCACACCGGAAATCCCCAAATCTGCCCCTTTTAGAATGCCCGAAACTGGGCTTGTGTGAGTAACTATAAAAGGGCGCAGGAAAAACTTGGAGCCAACCAACATTCCCCGTGGCGAGGCCTCGAACTTGGAGGAGCTTGTACTGGCATACGGGCAACCGCTCGAACCAGTTGCTAACGAGGAAGAAATAGAACTGGCCATGGGTCAAAATCCAAATCCCCACTAAAATAGACTAAAATGGGTGGTGCACCTACCCCAAATTGGTACCATTGGTTTTGACCCACAGCCAAATCGCGACGTCGTACTCGCCAAGCAAGAAGAAGCGACCGGGTTTTGCTTCGCCGAGCTAGGAGTACGCCCATGACTGGCCCAACTGGCCGTCAGCCTGCGGCGATGACTCTGAGCTCGGCACCACAAAGACAGATCAGCATACGCCTGGTTGGAGGTAAACCACATGCTCGGCAGCCCAAACCTCAGGCGATGAGTGCGGGGCAAAGGAACCTGAGTCGAAACATGCCGTGCACATGCGAACGCACAAAGCCAGCTTGCATTGCTGCAATGCAAACTAGAGGGTACAGTGCCTTCGCTGTTGATTTCTAGCGGAACTGAACATAAAGAATCCCCTAACCAAGCAACTTGTGTGTGGAACATGCATCAGGACTCCCAGCCGTTGCAACCGCCAACATCGCCAAACAGGATTGCTGAACCAGGTGCCGATTGAGAAAAAAAACATGTCAAACTAAGACATATTGGGAAAATATGCACCATCCAAAAGAACAAATAGAGATGCACAACGTCGAACTCTTCACTCATCAAGAAGCCTACAAGCCAACTTAACGCCCACGGCCATGGCGCCTCAGTGCAGCCAATGAGCAACCCACGAGTAAACTGCACCGGACTTCAAAAGCACGTGGCGTGGATGTCGCCCGGTGTGGGATGTTCTCAATGAATGCTGAGGACAACGGTCTGCTCGGCCTGTTCCCTCCCTCTTCTGGGCTGCCCGGCCATCGGAAGCGCCGCCTGGGCTCAACATGGAAGAAACACAATGAGGCGTGGGCGGGGGAGGAGACAGAACTTATGCTGTGCAAAGGGTGAGTGAACACCTTGTGTGAACCCCTGGTTTGAGGCTTAATCACGGGACATCAGCCAAAGCACCCACCCATGCTTTCCTTTCTTTCCTGTTCCCAATCCTATGCCATGATGAAAAGCAGAGCATCACCAGCAGAGTTGCCATAATTATCTCCCATTCCTGCTCTTGTTTAGTGGCTCCCAGTCTAGAACATGGTCCCAACCCACAAGGCCACAAGAGCCTGGAAGGGTAATGTTGACATAGGATTCATTTAGCCATGGTATTAAACAGGTCCCACACGGATGCCCCACCCAAATAAGAAGTTCAATTCCGCCCTGGTGATGCCGCTGCGGCTTGTTGTGCTCATTCTACTATACACTGTTGATATTGCATGTGGTTCCCATTTGTTTGGGAATTCCAAAGTAAAGAAAGCTGACAACTTTGCACTAGTACTAGCACAGACATGAAGCAGTGCCGATCCAGCACAAACATCAGCCCGAACTCTGCAACAAAGTTGGGCTTTCTGAAAGTGAAACTTCTTTTTAAATCTGCTTCAAAAAGGGATGGTTTGAGGAGGCAACACGAGGTACGCCATATGAAGTGCCCAGCCCGTATTAATATTGTGAATCCCCATGGTACTCTTTGGGGGCCATCTAGGCCGCGCCCACTTTTGAGCTCCAGCAGTACTAAATCAAATGGGAACTCAAATCCAACAATACTAAATAAACCAAATGAATGATCAAATCGAAAAGGAAGCTCCAGCAATACTAAATCAATGGAAAATGGACCGAAGCTCCTGTTGGAATCCTTCTGGAGTCTGGAATCCTCATTCCCAATTTAACAGTAGTATTGCCCAATACTACAGTAGACCTCCCCGATTATTTCAGCTCCAGAATCTGATGTTGGGAGGACAAAGACCTTCTGGACCTTCTGGGGGGTGATTCATCCGATGTCAACATTACCTGCAAAAAGAAGATGATAGGATACAATCATGGCATGCATTTAAACGGAAAAGAGAAAAGACAAGAACATGCCTTTGAATTCGGTACACACACCGCAGACACATTGCCCCGGAAGCTTTCGCCGCTCCGCCCCTTCGCCCCTTCGCCGCGGCGCCCCTCGCCCCTCTTCGCCCCTCTGGCCCCCGGCGGAGTGCCGTGCACCGAGGGGTCCCAGGGCCTCAGCTCCCGAGGGCGGCGAACCGATCTGTTCGGCGGGCGTTTGATACAGAAGAAAAATGGGTGGAGCAAATTGAGACGTGAGTGGGTTGTAACCTGAGTGGGTAAAAAAACCTTAAGCTCAGGTGATCTCCCCATGCGGAGCTCTTTGTGCTCGCACCCCGCATCTCTCGCAACACCTCGTGGAACCCTCGTGTAAGCTGCGCAAGTAAAACTTGGGTAGTTGTAAGGGAGAAAGAAAAGGCACATGTTTTTTGCAGGATGCCAATGAGGGATGAGGTGTCTGTTTTCCCCTAGGGCTGTTTTGTTTTGCTCTGGTCCCCTGGTTGGTTGGCGAAAAACCCGCCCTAGAGGAGAAAAAACAGTTCTGGGGGAGCAAAGACAACACCCCCCGCCAGGGAAAATGGGTTCTGTGCATGCCCAGCCCCCAAAAACAGAAATCAGATCTACCAATAAGTGAGTTCTGCGGTTGGGATCTGTTGTTCCCCAACAGCTGAAAGCTTTGGGGTCGATAGGCCCAGATAGGCTGCGGGGTGGTCCGGGGCGGCCCTGTAAGGTTCCACGAGGGTTCCACCAGGGTTCCGGTTCGGGAGGGTCGCTCTCAATTTCACTGGGGCCAGGACTCGGAGCCGGTCTTTGACCGGTAGACCGGCATGACGCACTGCCTGGGCGAAACTCGCGGAGAGCTCGGCATCCCTGGCCAGAAAACACCCCGGAAAAGAATGAGTGAGCCCCCTAGTTGTTCGAGGTCCATGTTTCCCTTCCTTTCAACCAAACCTCATCGCTGGCTTGGGAGAACCGAACGAACCGTCCAGATATTCGGGCACCGATGAATGCCATGCAAGACCTGCAAGACCTAAGACTCCAACTGAGGCCATGAAAACCCAGGGACTCGCTGGGTGTGTCCACCTTCTGTGACCAAATAGTGACACACAGAAGTCCCTAGACTTCACACAATCATGGGTACGTGCCAACCCAAAACGCCGGAAACACCGCTTGCTTGCAAGCCAAGGCTGCGACTGCTTCGTAGGAGCAAAGAAACCTTTCGGGAAACCTTTTTAGGGGTGGAGGCTAAAGGGACAGCAGAGACCAACGATTTTGGGAATTCCCTTCCTTGGATACAAACTCATATGAGCTAAGCGCGCAAACAGAGGCGTAGTCTGACAGTGCCTTAAAGCTGAGGGGGGCTTCAGTTGAACATCAAAGGCAACAACAAACCACGCAACGACCCCCCAATCGAACAAAAACAAACTAGCCCCCCCCCCCCCCCCGCATTTTCGGACGCTCTTGGAAATATATATATATATAAATAAATAAGACACGCGGAAGTTGCACCAAGACGTCACCAGGAACCAGCTCTTGGTTCAAACTTCTTGAAGCCACTGTTCAAACCAAGAGGGGAGAAAACATCCCAAAACAGACACGCCCATTCAAACAGCCTTCTGATTTCCCCATGCTAACGGTACCGAGTGTCCGCGCGTCTCGCGCCAGTAGAGCCACTCGAACGCGGCATGAAAGATCAGCATGAGCGTCCCCACCTTCGTTGGAGCTTGGTGGATGGTGGACCAGGATGCTTCTTTTCACCTGTTTTGGTTAAAACGCTTGGCATACCAAGAGGAATCAAGAATCTTTCGAATTGGTGCTAAAAAGGGGAAAACCCTGGTGAAGTGTCCTTGCAAGTTAATATAAGGGGTGTGAGATCATTACCTAATCTCTCGAAAACCACAAAAAGGCCAAAAGGGGCTTGTTCCCCCCCCCCCCCCCGACTGAATCATAGCATGAATTTGCTTTGCGTTGGCCCCTCAGTGTCCTACATCAGCATATCAACAGAACCTACCCGAACCTCTGCCAGTAAACTATGACACTGGCTCCACCTCTTGGCTAGCTGTGGAATATTGTCATACTGTGGATGGAAGAAATCCTGCACCACCTAAGAAACCCTGGAATTATGACTCCCGTGTAAATACCAACCAACGATGGTTTCCATGGTTTCAAAGTGGTGCAGGATTTCGTCCATCCACAGTAGTTACCCAGAGAACTGCTTCTTACGCGCCAGTTGCTTAAAGTGGCTGGCGTCTCTCCTCTTGAAAGCTGCTGTACCAAATGGGTAGACTGCGTTTGAAAACGCTACTTCCGATGAAACTCATCCTTCAGTAAAGGAAACCAACCCTGTGTAGAGTCCCACTAATTTATGACACCTATAAACACATGTCCGTAAATAAATAGATATAAATACAAACACTATGATTTAACAATTTAGAACTAAATAAATAAACAAAAAGATGGATAGGATAGGATAGGATAGAATAGGATAGGATGGGACAGGACAGGATAGGATAGGATAGGATAGGTATGTACCAACCGCACGAAACCTCCGCAGCACTTGGGGCTGGCGCCAGCAGCAAGGTGGCATAGAACTCTCCGCCGATCTGCCAAATCCTCCGCGACTTGAGCTTTGGCCAGCATATGAATCATATGGGTCCGTCCTCAGGGTGCCCTTCTTGAGGTGGAAGGGGACACCAAAGCAAAACCGGGCAGTCCACCAGGGGAATCAAACCATGTCCGACTTTGCGAGTGCAAATTGCGCGAGCCAAGAGGGAGCTGGTTGTCAGCTACCTACCCGAAGCGGTAGTGAGAACAACCTCCCAAATGGCAAAATACAACCCCTAGCGGTGAAAAACATGAGTTCAAATACTCTGAAGTCTGAGCAGACGGATCCTGCCCGCATGACAAGGAAAATGCGGTTGGGTTCGTCGCTTTCCATGCTAAAAGATTGACCCCTTTCCAAAGCACTCAAAGTGGGCGGACAGAAAGAAGGAAAGATGGCAGGATCGACGCGCCGCTCCATGCACAAGAACTGATGTGTTTGGCGCACTCCAAAGTGACCGTGGGGCATTTTGATAACGATCGCGCGAAAACAACATGTTGGGTTGACGGGGGGGGTTGGCCCGGGTTGGGGTGGGGTGGGGTGGGGTGGGGTGGGGTGGGGTGGGGTGGGGTGGGGTGGGGTGGGGTGGGGTGGGGTGGGGATGATAGTGTTCATGAGATGAGAGGTGACCGCTCTTTGGGGTGGGGTGGGGTGGGGTGGGGATGATAGCGTTCATGAGATGAGAGGTGACCGCTCTTTGGGGTGGGGTGGGGTGGTGGGGTGGGGTGGGGTGGGGTGGGGATGATAGCGTTCATGAGAGGAGAGGCGACCGCTCTTTGGGGTGGGGTGGGGTGGGGTGGGGACGATAGCGTTCATGAGAGGTGACCGCTCTTTGGGGTGGGGTGGGGTGGGGTGGGGTGGGGTGGGGTGGGGTGGGGTGGGGTGGGGTGGGGTGGGGTGGGGTGGGGTGGGGTGGGGTGGGGTGGGGTGGGGTGGGGATGATAGCGCTCATGAGATGAGAGGTGACCGCTCTTGGGGTGGGGCAGGGTGGGGACGATAGCGTTCATGTTCGGCCGGGGTGATGTAATGCAGGATTGCTTTGTATTTAGCTTTGGTCATACTACTTCGTTTTGCGAAGGTATCGCCCATTCCGTTCTTGCGAAAGTGGTGGCATGAAGATGTGCGGTATGTGGATGCTCTACACGAGAGGCATGTACGTATGTATATATATATATATATCGATATATATATATATATATATGTCTATTCATATGTATGTATATATATACATATATTTACATATATACATACATATACACATATATAATTATATATATTTATACGTCCGCTGATTAAAAAACGTGGAACTGTCACGGCAGCGTACTCCAGTTATTATCTCGGGTACGCGAAGTTGCAGGGTTTGGTAAGCGACATTCCTGGGAGGCATGCTTGAAAATGCAGTGATTCGTGGCACATTTGAGCACCTGTTCAATGCGATGCACTTTCAACTCGCCATCGTCCCGGGCCAACCCCCCCCGGCAACCCATGCTGGTCTCCCCAAAAGGACATGAGAAAATGGTGGACAGGTCCTCCCCAAAAACAGCTGACTATCGGCACTCGTCAGCTACCACGCTCTGCCCGGACTCACGGCTTCCAGGGCCCGCGCCCAGTGTCTTCCAGTTCCATGGTCCAAGAGTAGCCCACCAACGTCCTGGCACGGAACGGGTGAACGTGTCCTTGCAAGTCGAGGGGTTCCCAAAATGGGTCTGTCTTTCTTGAGGGTACCCCTTTTGGATGGTTTTTAAGGGGAAGCCAAAAGGATGCAAAGCCATTTTTGGGGGTCCCTCTAAAGGACACGCCCAAATTGTGTTTGGGGAAAGGGGCATTGTCCATGACACGGCGCACATCTCCGCATTCCTCTAGTGACGCGAGTGCCACCCTCTTTCCAGCGCCCGAAGTCCAACAACAAGCGAGGTCCCTTGGCATCACTTCGCATTTCAGTGCCTGCTGCCATGAATTGCATTTCTGTCTTTCTGAAAAATCCCCCCCCCTCTCCGAAGTTTCTAAAAGAGAAGCAAAGGCACAGAAACAAATTGTTTGTAGGAAGCACCTTGCTGGTTGATTAAACTCCCATAGTCTAACATCTAAAACGTCAGCTTCCGAGCTTGTCGCTAGAGGCTGAGCAGCACAAGCGACACCGGTTTACATATGCTTGATTCCTAAATAGTGCAGGCCAGTGCAGGTGAACCAACCACAAACCATGCTTCCCCAAATAACCCCGTTTGCAACTGCTACGCCCTTGCCACAGTACCCACCGCCCGCCAAGGGCCAACCGGAAACCGCTCGGTTCGTCCGGGAAAAACTGAGGCTCAGCTTCAGCCCTCTTTGCCCCTAAAGCGGAAACGTGACCACGAACAAGTTCCAAGTGGTTCGCATGTCACTTCGGGTGAGTGGGGTCGTCTCCAAAATGGTACCCAACTTCTTGGGGCTTCTGTTTCCTTTTCAACAGGAACACCGGCAAGATGTATCCTCAAATACAAGTGGAGCTTGGGAGCCCCCAAAAGCCAAGCAAACACGCCATACGGGGATCAGTCATGTTCTACGTCCGAGATGAGGCAGGTGCAGGCAAAAAAACACAGGGCGTAATCAAGCACAGAGAAACAACGGCTGGTGGGGATTCATTCCCACAACAAACGTGACGTGCTCGCCACATCCCACTGCAGAGCATTCCAAAGAGCAAGATGATGACCACGGCCCTGGCTCCCATGCTGCGTTTGATTAAAAGCTCCCCTCTGCCTGTTGGCGTCACCTCCATGCCCCGGCAAAGCCGGGGCAATAAACCAAAAAAAAAACGCCAAAGAACCTGTTGGACCCATTTGGGCTCACTGTGTCACTCGGGACCCATTTAAAGCCCTTGCCATTTGGAGGCGTCAGTGTTCGACACGGAGTCCCTCGGCCGCTAAAGCCTCATGGGTGAAGACTCAATAAGGGCCATGAGAGCCTTCCATACCAGTGGAACTAAAACTCAAAGAATGCGCTGACAGAAGAGGGGTTCAGCAACATGTCCTGCAAGCGTGTCTGATGAATCTACATTCAGCTTCTTTGAGTTGTGATTCCCAACAAGCTCCATTTTCGCGTAGGATGTCCATGGCGATTCGCCACACATGGCTACAAATGCCGGCCTATGCAAGGTTCTGGCCTTTGGTTACCCAATGGAATTAATCGCAGTGGGTCATGTAAGCCAAAAGATTGGTCCCCGTGCGTGTTATTCCCGTCGCCGCCAATGGCCTCCGTCTGCTTCGGCTTGTGTTGATCCATCTGTGCCAATCTCGCCAGCAGAAACACTGCAAAGGATCAAAAGGGAGGAAACTAAAGAACCCATCTCCAAGAAAGGTTGATTCATACGACCTTCTTGAAGGGGCCTGTGCTGCTGGGAGATGCCTTTCTGGGTAAAAAGAGGGTCCAAAGGCCTCTCCTGTGAGCTCTGCAACATCCATCCATCCACCTGCTCTTGAGGTTATTTCCTTTAAAGACCCGGAGAAGCCGCCCAAAACCTGGAGAAGCCCCCAGAAAGGCCCCAGGGCCCCAGCCTTCTGCGACGTCCGGTCCGCGCCAGACTCAGCGCCTCCAATGGTCCCAGAAGACACAAGGCCGATGCCGAAAGTGGGGCAACGCCACGCAAGCCATGGCAAATCCACGTGCAAGAATTGATCTACTGACCATATTTTAGGGCTTCAACTGCATCCTCAAAAACAAAACCTTCTTTGAGACGCAAGTGATACAGGAAGATACAAAGGACGCGTGGTTTCTTGTGTTGACCCGTCTGCCTCCCCCGTCCCTGTGGCCTTCAAGAGGCGGTTCGGATTCTCGATGCTCCTCGGGTCAGTGGCGTCATATGTCGGGGGATCGGCCCGGGACCTCACCCGATCTCACAGGATCCACGGCCTTTCAGAACCTGAAGGCCGCGCCAATCGCCAGAGATGCTTCTTGAACCATCTCAAGTCCCACTGCCAAATCCCACAGGCTTGAAAAGCTGGACCGGCATCCCCACGCTGTCCATTGTCGCTTGTCGAGCAGGTGTTCAGCAGACGACTCAAGCTGACCGACACTTTACTCCCGGCCTACCCCCGCAGATGCCGTTGTCATCTTCAAGCAGGTCCACGAGATGTCGATAGTCGCCTCGGGCCAACGGGCCCGATGAGCCCGATGGGCCAATCGGCAAATGAAGGTAGAGACACGAAGGACTCATGCTGGCCCTCGCACAAATCCGAAAGATGAGGCCGCGGGGGTGGGGGGGGGGGAACCGAAAGGGAATCGGTTGCTTTCAGGGGTTGAGACTGTTGACCTTCTTAAACAGCGCCCATGCTAGGGGCGACCGTGTCCAAGAGAATGACCCTGAAATCCGAACAAAATCATACAAAATCCTTGGACCATTCCTCCAAACAAGCTGTGGTCAAAACCATTGGGCCCAAGGGACATCCTTTTCCAATTTGGAGTGGTGGACCTTCGTCATTGGGGCGCCCGCCTGAGTTGGATTCCCATGACCCCTCCAAACCGAGGCTAGGCCTCCTGCTGATGTCCATGGTGTCATAGTGGGCAGCATGGAAGGCGTAGATGAGGAAAAGGATGGCCACGAACATGACCTGCCAGACCATCCCCAACCCCCAGAACCCTTCCAAAACTGAACCAGAGCTGCTCTTGGTCAGTGTGCAATGGACTTCTCTTTTAACGGGGAACCTGCACGGTGTTCTTTTGGCTTCCCTTTACTATTTACAGCAACCGCCACCCCCATAACCCCCGGCCAAAAGGTCCCTCAAGGAGATCCCTCTACAAAAAGCAGCGCAGCCTCTCTCTACGTCGACCCAAGTTTTCCGCAAAACCATGCAGGAATCACGCAAGCCCGAAGCCGGCTCTGGCCGGAACCAAGGTTGAAAAAGCGGGGTGCAACTCATTGATGGGATTCAGACTGTCCGATGAAACACCCCCCCCCTCCCCACTTAATCCGACGGTCGACATTACTCATGACCACCGACTCTGTGGTTTTGCCGGGCTACCCCGCAGAGTAGCCCAGCTGCCACACGTCCCCGGCCAAAACCAGCGTCAAAGCCTCGCCAGACGCCAAAGTAGTTGAGTCCCATCCCTACAACTCCCTGCCGGCCTCAGAACCCACGCCCATCACCATGCCACGCGCCAGGCGGGGGGGGGGGGGGGAGAATGGTGTGGTTGCACTGAGTTGCTGGAAGCTTCGCATTCACAATATTGGAACAGTTCAACCGCTTGGGCCCCTCGAGCATGCGGCTGGCCAGAAGAACCCGATTCTCACCTTGTCAGGCCCACCTTGTCAGGCCCACCTTTGTCAGGCACACCTTGTCAGGCACACCTTGTCAGGCCTTCCAAATGCAACCCCTAAACCCATCGTTCAGGGTTCCATTTGAGTGGCCTCCATGGGAGGCCCCCTCCCCTAGATCCTTCCAAGAAGCTCGCAGTTCCGCAAAACGCAAAGAAAGACATCCCCGCCAAACCAGTGGAGGCTGATTTTGCCTTGGGGTGGCACATTTCGAAACTCGCGCGGATCAATCGGCTCGCATTTCTCAGGTGGTTGAAGCCCTCAAAATGGGCACTGGAGCCATTACGAAACCTACCCCAAACCACGACGCGCAAGGGGGGGTTTGCGGCAGCATGTAGGGCCACATCACGGCCCATATATAAATTTACTTGTATACACCCTGTTTTCCCAACCAGAATGGTGGCCTCTGCTGCCGTCACGCTTGAGGCGTGGACTGCAATGGCCGTGGACTTGATGAGCTCATGGATGATGGCAAACACCTTTTGCAGCCTCGGCCGTGACCGGCATGGCAAACACCCCAGACAATCCTCTTCTCTTCTGAACATGACCAGTTCACTTTCTCGCAATGTTCAGGTGTTTTGCGTTCAAGGGCAATCATGCTACGTGTATCTTAAAACGATAAAACAGAAATTATATCGATTGGAGCTCATTGGCTTCTTGCGCTTGTCCAATTGATCCGACTGATCCGACTGCCGCCTTTCTCAGCTCCCCGGCTCCATGAGGCGTCGGAAGTTCACCACAAAGCCCCGGCCTCGGGTCTGAAAACGTGGCGCTCGCTTGGGCTTTGGGCGGGATCGCAAGAGAACGTATGATGCTGATTGGCAAACATGGGAACTATGGCCTATGGCATGTAAATATCAAAGAGGGTCCTACAGTGACTTGGAAACACATTGTTTGGATCCTGCATTGATAAGTCTGGTGCAACTAGTGGATGACATTTTGATCCTTGTGTGGATCGCTAGGTGAGGATCCCTTGGCTTCAACGGTTGACACCATCGGGCATCGGAAGGAACAAAAAGATCCTGGCCGCTCGCACGATGAGCGGTTGCGCGGAACCACCAAATTTGATGACAGCGACATGTTGATACCTCCCAATGGTGTGCGCCCAAGTGTAGTAGCGGTGTGCGCCCAATGAGGATGAGGATGCCGTTGCAACCACACTACCGAGAAAAGCAAAAAGGCGGCGGCGGCGGCGGCGGCGCCGGCACGCTAAGCAAGCGGCTCAGGAAGGATATCTCCTTGCCAGTGACCTCCTTGCTGACTCTCCTCAGCCTGCCATATCGAAGGGTGGCTACGTGCCGCATGCCTTTCAGCTTCTATCAGGCGTTTCCTGAAGGTGTCAGGTGATCTTTTGGATTGACCCGAATCTGGCGCTGTGTTGACATCTATCTACAAGGTCCAACAATTCATCGGCAATTCAAATGAAACAATCACCGATGGAGGCTTGGATCGGCTTGACTGGCAACTTCTGGCGTAGCTGTAACCTCCACACAGAAATTATTCTTTACAGGAAATAGCGCTGAAACCATCAAAAGAATGATACAGTTGGGTGAAAGTTGGCACAATCCCCTCAGTTGGTTTAGTCATCCACTTTACTCCCCCACATAGAGGGATTGTGCCATCTGGCGAGGGAAACAGCACAACTCTCTATATTCCCCGGATTCTCCGGAAAGATAACGAGGACTTCAAACGGACCAACTCCTCCCTCGGTCCACGTCCCCCGCTTTTCTTGCTGGTGCTCAGGGGATGTGGGAATGACCCGTCTAGAACCCATCCCTTTGTGGTTTCCTTTCATTATCAGGGAACCCGAAAAACTTCGGGTCATTCCATTTCTCCTTCCCCACAGAGTTCGCACCGATTCCCGAGTTCTCGCTCAAAAACTCCCCGGGGGAAATCCGCGTGGGGCCCCCCAAGCCCCCCCCCCCCCAGGCGCCTCACCACCTTGTCGTCCTCCGACAAGAGCGAGGCGCTGCGGCGGTCCCCGATGCTGATGCCTGGCCGTTTGAGAGTTCGGCATCGGTCGTGCAGAGATCTGCCCCAAAAAACAACATATATGTATGATCTACCCCCCTTCCACGGGGGGAGGGGGGGAGGGTGGTTGAAGATACATATATATTATGTATCTACCTGCGCACACATGCACACACACACACACAAAAAAAAAAAAGAACACGGAGGCGCCCGTGTTTCCTTTATTTGAGGGGGCTTCCCTACAAAGTAGGAAAAACCAAGGCGGCAACCCTTTTCTTGCCACGGCTGGAGGATTTCTGGTAAAAGCGGCTGGCAAGGTGGTTCACTGATCAAGCCTGGGTGCATCAAGCCTTGCCCCGCAAAGTGGATTGTGCACTTCCTGCGGTTTGTGAGGGTGCCATTTTTCGGTGGTCTAAAGCAAAGCCACAAGCGACAGCCACCAGTTTCAAGGTCCCCTGTTGTGACACATACCCGTTTGCGCCAGCAAATTTGCAGAGCATTGTGAGAAACGGCCAGCCAGGCACGAAGTCACGGGAATCCAATGCCGATGCTTCTGCCGCAGCTCTTGACATGGGTCCATGAAAGGTGAATAGAGCAAGGGTCGCAACCCACATGGGAGTTTCATTTTTGAGGGTGCCCCCTCTTTCTGACAAAAAGGGGGAAACTTACGCCAATTCTTTTACGCTCCGCTCACGAAGCAAGGCCCCGGGAGCCGAGCCAGTGCTGTGAAACGTGTTGGACATCGATGTCGATGTCGATTCGGACTCTCTTTGGCCCGCCGTGCATTAATCAGGCAGTCGCTCTGGCCCTGGATGCGGCTTTTGGCGCATACGCGCCAGAAGCCAAGGAAGCGAAGAGAATCTCCACGCCGCCTAGACCCAAATCCAAATTGGAGAACAAAAATTGACAATTGATTACTCAACTTTTTAATCGCCCTTTGGACCAGTAGCAACTCTTATGCCGCGAATCAGGCCGTCACAGGCCACGGAACCCGCCCCTGCGGAGCATTGTCTCTGTCACCTGAGCTGAACGAAACGGAAAAATCTCCCCTGAGATATGTTGCCCCCCCGCTCCACAACGGGGCCGGATTTCAGCTTCCCTTGCGTCCCTTCGAAGCAACCCAAAACTGGGCCAGGGCAATAAGAGACACAGCCCCGTGTTTCCTTTGTTTCCTTTGTTGGATGCTCTGACAACCCAAAGAACCTGCCCTCAAAAAGTGGTACGTACAAATGTCTCTGTTTGATGCCTAGACGCCCTCTGCACTTTGATGTTACAAACGTGAAAGTGATTATCCTTCTGTACAGCCTTAGATGTGCGAGGTGAAGCCGAACCTCCCAATCACCTGCGAAAATCGAGCCCAAAGTAAAACAGACCACTCCCCAAAGCCGAAGATTGGCTGCTGCCTGGTGAGTTCTTTCCAGCGAAAGAGAACCGCCCAAAATTCCCCGATTTCATCCATGAAGGGCACGATAGTTCAGTCTGTGGCACAAAACACGGGGTGCTTCGGTTTCCATGCTGAACCTCCAACATTCAATGAGCGGTTGCCTTCGAAGCATCAGTTGGCAGATGACTGGCCTCAATATTTTACCATGATCAAAGTCACCCTGTAAGGGGTGGGTTAAAGGGAAACAACCCCAAATAATGACCGGCGCTTAAAAGCAAAGGTCTGCGATTATCAAAGGCTGCCCAGTGGCTTTCCTTGAAAGGGGTTCATGAAAGGGTCCCAAAACCCTCATACGGGTATGTTCACAGGTAGCTGTCCCATACCTGCCCCTTTGGAGGAGCTCGTTTTGCATGGTTTCTGAAACCAACAGGAAGCCAACCGGTTTGTTTGGTCCCGGTTATTATCACACCTCCCTCGTATACAACCTGAATCTACAACGAGCACGTGTCTGAGGTTCTCCCAAAGTACAGCGGATCTATGCATCACTCATACCTCAGTCTAGTGACACAATGCGGCAAGTTTATTAGTAGGCCTCATATCCATTGGTTTGCAACGTGTTTGTTTGTTTTTGTTGTTTTTGTGTTTTGTTCTGTAAAAGTTACATGGGTGGGCGTGAGAATGTCACGAGGCCTCCGATGAGTCATCGACTCACGGACCCGTCAAAAAAATAAAACAAGCCCACAAGAACTTTGTTGCCTGTGATGCATTTAGGCCACAACGGCCACTTGAAAGTTGTTCCAGTGCCGCTCCACGAACACTTAATGAAAAAAGGGCTGGAGCTTTGATCGCACAGGCGACTCACCTCTCACAGCAGTTCGAAAGGCCGGATCTGACTGCTGTCACTGCCATAGTCAGTACCCCCCCAGGTCACCACAGAGCCATCCTCCAGAATGGCAGCAAAGGCTCTCTGAGTTGCTTGGATCTGCCGGACCCCCACCAAGCGCTTTTGCACGTAGCTGCTGTCACCACCGAAAACTGGTTTGCCCCAAGTCACCACAGAGCCGTCGCGACGGATGGCAGCAAAAGCATGCCGGCCTGCTTGAATCTGCTGGACATCAATCAACTGCTCTTGCACCTGACTACTGTCACCGCCAGCTGCAGGATTGCCCCAAGTCACCACAGAGCCGTCGTGAAGGATGGCAGCAAACGCTCCTCCAAAAGTTGCCTGGATCTGCTGAACGCGCACCAACTGCTCTCGCACCTGGCTGCTGTCACCGCCGCAAGTCGAGTTGCCCCAGGTCACCACAGAGCCATCGTGGAGGATGGCAGCAAAAGCACGCGAAGTTGCTTGGATCTGCTGGACCGAGGCCAAATGCTCTTGCACCTGGCTGCTGTCGCCGCCAGCCAGACGATCGCCCCAAGTCACCACAGAGCTGTCGTCCAGAATGGCAGCAAAGGCTCTCAGAGTTGCAGTGATCTGCCGAACCCGTACCAACTTCTCTCGCACCTGGCGACTGTCACTGATGGTATGGCCCCAGTCACGATCGCCCCAAGTTACAACGAGGCCATCGTACAGGATGGCTGCAAAAGCATACCAAGATGCTTGGATCTGCTGGACATTGATGAGCTGTTCTTGCACCTCGCTGCTGTCACCGCCACAGTCAAGATTTCCCCAAGTCACTACAGAGCCGTCAACCAGGATGGCAGCAAAAGAACCACCAACAGTTCCCTGGATCTGTTGGACTTTCAACAATTGGTCTTGCACCTGGCTGCTGTCCCCGCCCCTTGTAGGATCACCCCAAGTCACCACAGAGCCGTCCTCCAGCATGGCAGCAAAAGCTCCGCCAGTTGCTTTGATCTGCCGGATCCGAGCCAACTGTTCTCGTACCCCGCTACTGTCACCACCAGCGTAAGGATCACCCCACGTCACCACCGAGCCTCCTATGCCATATAGGGCGAAGGCGCTGTCTGTGGCAGCCAATTTCACACACTGCACGATCGCATCAACGCAGTCCCCATCTCGCAGGCCGGCCACACTCAAGGTGGACGAAAGGTCCAGCAGGCGACCGTTGCAAACCAACCGCAAAGGGCCGCGCTGCAGGCGCCGCTGCGCCTCCAACTTCAAGCGGAGAACATGTGCCTCTGGCGGTAGCGTAACATGGCAGCTGCTGCCACTTGGCAGGTAAATCTCCACTCGCAGAGCGCTGTGGGCCTCGCCCATGGCTTCCAAAGAGCAAAAGGCAGCCTAGTCTAACAAGAAAGCGCGCCGCTCGGTATTGTGTTGACCCTGTCTTTAACACCCCCACAAATGGAAGACGAAGTTCCGCAAAGCGCAGTTGCATTTACAAAGGCTCATGGCCACCCGATTGAGTCACCAGGCCTTCAGCCAAGGCTGCCGGCAAGGAGTCCTTGGCCCCTACGCGCGAATCTGTGTGGGTGTCATCGGCTTTGAGGTTTCATGAGGTATGGTTCACCTGCGGGCCATTCCCATGGGCCTGAGCTCGCCATACTGTCAGCTGAGCCTGCTACTTGTTCTTCCGATTCTGCGGAGGTTTCGCAGTGCGAAGGAAAAGGCGGGGCCATCCAACCAGTCTAAGTGGAGACATTCGGCAAAGTGCCTCAAAATATGCGCACCAAACCCCCACACAACGCCCCCTACCTCAACCCACCCCAACCTCTCACATCTACCAATGCCCCCCAAGATCCCATATTTCCGTATCAAAATTCACCGCAATAAAGCAAACCTTTAAGTTGCCCTTGGCGTTAGGATTCTGTTTAACATCTAAATGTGAGGAATCCCTTTCCGAAGGGAGATGTTGTTAAAACCAGCCTTCAAGGGCAACTTGTTTCAGACCCCCTCATCGCTCGTCGTGTCCTTCCCGTCCCCGGTAAAAACCGCGTTTCCCTCCGGTGCTTGGATGTTGAACCTACTTGAAATGTGGCTTATAATCATGGTTGCTGGGACAACTTAGCTTGGCTGACTTAGAGCCGTGGGCTCCCTACTTTCTCCCCTTGTGCTGGATTTAAACATCACCTTGCCCAAAGGTGAGAGTTTCTCTGGGTTGTTAAGGTACCCTGTCTAGAATTAAGGTCCCTCCACTTACCCCCCGAGAAAAGAAACGCCCGAGAAGAAAAAAAAAAGGGGAAAAAAAGAGAGAGAGAGAGAGAGAGAGAGAGAGAGAGAGAGAGAGAGAGAGAGAGAGACAAAGACAGAGAGAGAGAGAGAGAAGAAAAAGAAAAAAAAGTGCCTTCCGCTTTCTGCGCTGCTTCCCCGCTTTCCGCTTTCCGCTTGTGCCGAGGCCTCGTCCTCCAGGTCCGCCAAGACCTTGGCCCAGGCCGCGCAGCGCTCCACGCCGTCCTCGCAGGTCCGCAGCTCGCTGCGCAGCTCGCGCTCCTCGAAGCGCAGGTGCCACAGGTCCTTGCGGCTCACCGGATGATGTGGAATTCGAACTGGTGGCTGGATGATCAGATGCAGCTGGGAAACAACACAAGGAAACCATGCAACATACCCCAACTTTGGTTACTTGGGAAATTTGGAGCAACCCAACCTCAAAAGGAATCCCCCTTGCTCCCTGCCTGCAAGTCGTCCTCTGGTCGCAGCTCCGCAGCACTCGCGCTGCGTCTCATGGGTCGGCAGCTGGGTGCGCTACTGGGCCGTGCGCGGGGCTCTCGCGCGCCGTTGGAACCGTTGGACCCGCTGGGCCCGCCGAGGCCGCTTTGGGCGTCCCGGGGGACCGGGCGCAGGTCCTTGGAGGTCGACTTGACCAGGGCGGGGTTCTTGCAGGCCTCGAGAGGAGCGAAACTCAAAAGCGGGAGTTGCAGGCTGCAAAAGGCCCAACATCTTCGGGCTGGAGATTGCTTGGAAACCAGTTGTTTGGTGGATTGGGCACTTGAAGAGCTTGTGCTGAATGAAGTCTTGCCTTCTTGGCAGGGCAGTACTTGTGCTTCGAAAAATGCGTTGCAGAGAGTGGATAACGGTTTACGTTTCTTTCCAAGTATCCGTGTTAGTTCTTTGACTTTTCTTAAGTTTCATCATTTATCCAATGTTTGCAGTAGCCAACATCGAGAATCTTGAATCGGTCATACATGCTTGTTCCTTCAAAGTTCAGCAAGGGGATGTTCCGTCATGCAGTTAGTCCTAGTAGCGTGTTTAATTCATCTACTTCAGTAGTTGTTGGAATCTCAATGTTGTGGATGATCTCTCATCTAGGTGGTCTCCCTCGTGTTCGTTTGTACTTGGCGGATCTGCCTAGCCCTTCTGGAGTAAAACCACTAGAGGCAACCAACCCAACATAATGCTTGCCAATGTTTCTACCCATCCACCTCTCCCTCTCAGGCATCCGCCTCGAGCAGGCGCAAGTTCTTCTTGCACTGCTGCACCAAGGCCTTCAAGTGCTTTTGGCTGGTGTTCAGCTCGTAAAGGATCACCCTGGCCCTCTGCGCCTCTGCCGACTCGCTGTTGTTATTTCCACTCCTGCGGCGAGACTCGACCCTTCCGAAGGCGGCGGAAGCGGATCAAAAAGGGCCACAGGCGAAAGAGTGTGTTGACAGCACCTGGATCAAAACGTGTCCAAGAAACAGCTCGGCGGGAATCACCCGCGACCAACAAGCCGAATCCAAGTGCACTCCTGGGTCGCTCTCTGGTGGTCCAAGTGGCACAGGAGATGGCAACCTCAGGCTCAAACCAAAGTTATGGTTCTTAGGGGGCTGGGACCCAATCACCCGTAAACAAAAAATAGAACCTGGTGCTTTAAGCCCAGGCGCCAAAATCGCTCTCTGGGGGCATGTGTGGGTGGGGGGGGAAGAGTGTGGGTGTCTTCACACAAACGCGACCAAACGTGAACCCTAACCCCGAGGTTTTTTCTCCCTTCCACTTGCCCCCCCCCTCCCCAATGGCTAATCTCATATACAGCTACAGAGGCGAAATAGTACACAGTGACCAACCCGCAGCTCCCATCGTTTCCGCTCTTTTCCGCTTGCCTCGTTTCCGCCTAGCGAAGAGCCCCCCCCCCCGCCTCCAGCTCCTTGAGCTGGGCATCGTAGCGGCGGCGCCGCAGCTGGTGCTGCTCCAGCAGCCGCGCCAGGCAGAGCTGCACCGCCTGCGAGGCCTCCACGAAACGCGACGCGAGGAGCGGAGGCCGGTCCTTCTGAAGGCGAGTGGACAGACAGACTCAGTTGCGGTTCAGTTGGGGTTCAGTTGGGGTTCAGTTGGGGTTCAGTTGGGGTTCAGTTGGGGTTCAGTTGGGGTTCAGTTGGGGGGCTGGGATGTCAGTTGGGGTTCAGTTGCGGTTCAATTGGGGTCGTTTGGTTTCCAACCGGAAGGAATAACCCACAAAGGGAGAATTAGACATGAGTTGGGACAGGGTCAACTACAAAGTGGCCCCAGTTCGAACAAAGGCACCCATGAAGCATCGCTTGGGGCCGGGCTCCTGGAAAACATGGCCTCGCGCCCTTGGATGCGCAGTGGCCTCGAAACAAACTCGCCAGGTCCGCCTTGCAGCATTCCAGGTCAGTCCACTGGATGGTCTCCACCACCTTCCTTGAGGGACTCAGGCGAAGAAGCAACCGATGCCAACTCAAAGGATTCCTGTTCAAAGAGTATTTCTTCAGTGGACAAGGGTTGGCAAAAGTATATACACCTGCTTGCGTCGCTAGCCAAGAACTTGCCCTCCGTTCGAAGAGTTGCACAAGGGAATCCACACCCTTTGAGAAACGAGGAGCAATATCAGTGCCTTCCTGTGAGAAAGGTCAAGAGAAAGACAAGGAGGAGGGGAGAGGACGGGGGTTTTGCAGGAAAAGGAGAGGAGAAGGAAGAGGAGGAGAGGGCCAGAATGAAAGGCAAGTATCTGCCGGTTGGTCCAGGAAGAGCGGGTTCAGGTGGAAATGCTCAAGCAAAAAGCAAAGAGCAAACGCAACCCAACCAATCATATGTTTTGTTTGGGAGGACGAAAGTCCAGGCGAGCGAACTCAAGTAACGATGCGTGGGGATCAAACGAGCCCGGGCCCATGGCGAGGGTGCCTGAGGTGCCTGACTTGGGAATCGCATTTTTTCTGGATTTGTGAGCTATAGTAATTTGCACGGAAGGATGCGGTACATGTGTGTGTGTGTGCTGAAATTGGCAAAAAGGGTGTTCAAAGGGAAAAAGAAAGGACACGATTGGGGCGGGGGCTTTTCCCATCTGACATATGAGTCCTGTTGGTGTTGTTGGTTTCTTCCTGTTGGTGGTCTTGGGGCGGGGGCTTTTCGCATCTGACATATGAGTCCTGTTGGTTTTGTTGGTTTCTTCCTGTTGGTGGTCTTGTTCGCCGTTGACGTAGTTTCCGCCATTGACTGAATATTCGGGAAATCGTAGACCTTTCTGCTGCAAAAACCTGAAACTCCTAAAACTCGCTCTTTAAAAAAAAAATGCAATGCTCACGGCCTTTGACAAGCTAAAGGAAGCTTTGCGGGGTCAACGACTTCCCGCAGCCCGCAAATTTGTCAAAAAAGTTGTGTGGTGCAGGAAAAAGGTTCCATTTTGACCGCAAATCTCCCACAAAAACCCACAAACGGCCCGCATAAAAAAAGAAGAAAAAAGAAACATAGTTCTGACGATCAAGGCATCCCATGCGGTTCACTGGCGCGTTGCCAAGTAGAGCGTGGTGTATTGATTTTGCATGGCACTGAATTCATATGAGTGGTTGCCAATGTTGTAGCAATATCACTGGAATTTGGTTCATCGTAGAGGTCCCTAAAGCACCAACATGCAAAAAACAGAGTTTGAAGGTCAAGGTGTGACAATTTGTCTATATGTGGGGGGGGGGGGGTATCTCGAGTTTCCATGTAGCAGACAACAACTGACCCTTGCGATCTTGGAACCCAATGCACTGGGTATCTCTAAGTACGGGGACCCTCAAAATGGCGGTTTTCTTTTTGGTCTCCCTTTGAACCAACCCCAAAAGGGCAGACTCAACACGAGCCCAAACCCACATTCTCAAAGTTACCTTTGGAGTGGTGTCCCTTAAACCAGCCCTTGAACCAGTTCAACCAAAAAAACGAAGACCGATTTGGAACCCAAAAAAAAATCATCTTCCATGTCCACTTGGTTTCCCTTCAGGCAACCCAAAAAGAAGGGTTGTCATTTTTGAGTGAATCCTTGTTGGGTTTGCTTAAACATCCCCTCCGAAACTCGCAGACGTGCAGTACAGAGCAGGCCACGACGAAAACCTCACTCACCCTCCAAAAACCTCACGCAAGCTCACTCCACACATGGCCATGGGTCAAAAACCAAATCGTACCCCCAGTGAACATCCCAATCCCCACTAAATTAGGTTCTAAAATGGGTGGTGAATTCACCTACCAACCAAAATGGGATCCCAAAACGGCTTTGACCACCACAGCCTCATCAAGCAATGCCGTTCCCCACTGAAAAAGACAAAAATGGGGTGGTGCACCCTGCCCCGAAATGGCACCATTGGTTTTGACCCACAGCTCAATGCAGTTCAGGTCACCGGCACAGCAGCTTGGCCTCCTCCTCCGCCTGCTTCGCCTTCCGCGCCCAAAACTCCACGCCGGCCTCCTCGGGGCTCGGGTGCTCCGGGGGTGGAGCTTGGGGTTGGGGGTTGGAGGAGTCGTGTCTCTTGAGGGTGGTGTTTTGGGAGTCTGGAAAATGGGGAGGCGAGAAAACCTGGGGGGGAGTAGACTAGTAGACACACCACACGGGACAAGGACCAGTCAACGCGAAAGAAAATGCTGGCGAAAATGTGAGATGAGAACACATAAGGAAAACAAGATAAATCTATGGGGGAATAAAACAACAATAAAAACACGGTGAAGCACTGGGGAGAAAACAAAAAACGTGCACAGGCCTTACCAAAAGGACGGCAGTCTTCCCGAAGGAGTCTGTGCACGTCCATGTTTGTTGGTACTGTGAGTGGACCAAATCCTGCATTGCGATGGACGATAGACGAAACCCAGAAATCTTCGGACATATTGGGAAAAACCACGAATCCGCCTTTTGTCCACCCAAAGTGTGCCCTGTTTTGTAGGGTTTCCACAATTTTGTTTGGTGGGATTCAGGGAAAACCAGAAGGAAGACCCAAAATCCATTTTGAGGGGGGGGGTCCCCAAAAAAAAAATGACACACCCGGCAAGGAAACAAATTCTGCCTGTCCCCACTCCTCCGCCCGCAAGTCCCGGCGCCGGCTGGCCAAATCCTTCCTGAGGCGCCCGTGGAGCTCGGCGCCCGCCTAGCGGCGCTTTTGCCCGGCTGCCCTTGAGATGGGCCATCACAAATCAGTGCATGCGTGTGTGTTTGGGTGTGTGGGTCCGTGTATTTTTGTTTCAAAGACCCAATCAACAATGTTTAAATACAAAAAAAAGACAGTCTCCAAAAAAAATGGCGGCTGCCCTCTTTCCCTTCCAAACACCCCAAAAAAAAAAACACAATGAAGAAAAGCGCACGAAAAGCTTTTCCTCCGAAGGCGCAAAAACAAACCCAGACAGCCCTGCAAGGCCGGGCCCGGCGCCCGCCGCCCGCCTCCACACTGGCCGCCACCTCTCGGTCCAGCGCATCCAGCTCCCGGCGCAGCAGTTGCAGCGCCTCCCGCTCCGTCTGCAGCGCCTCCGATGCGCGCGGTTCGCCCAGCGAGCAAAAGGCAGCAACGCTGTCGGGGGCCAAATTTGGACGCTTGGGGATTGGTTTGGACTGGGTTTGTGGTTTGGGTTTGTGGTTTGGGTTTGTGGTTTGGGTTTGTGGTTTGGGTTTGTGGTTTGGGTTTGTGGTTTGGGTTTGTGGTTTGGGTTTGTGGTTTTGCAGATAAACCAGGAATCCCCAAGGGAAATACATGATTTGTCTGGTCGAGGCCCCACGAAGTTTGCAAAGTTCTTTTGTGGAACAGGACCCTCCTTTACACTCTCCATAAGGCAATCAGCTTTCTCCACCCCTTGGGGAGGGACACGGGTCGAGTCTAACACAATCCCCAGAAGGGTGTCGGGCCTCCAGCAGGTCGGTGGCCTCCTCCATAGCGTTCACCGCCTCTGCTTCGGGACCCGTCGAAACCAGGGGTTCAACACCCAAAGGCGCCCAGGTCTGGAAATGTCAGCGTTTGAGAAGCCGAAGACAAACACCCATTCTGCAACACTCTGGAAAAAGAGAAAGCTCGACCCAAAAAAGCAAAACCATCCCAACCTCAGCTCAACCCAAGAAACGAAAACACCCCAACCTCTTGAAACCACTTGGTTAGCGCCCCCCGCCGGTAGTCCCGTTTTCGCTCCTCCAGGCGCTGGCGGCACACTGCCAGCTGCTGGCCCTTCCGCGCCGCGCGAAGGCGGCCCCTGGCCGCCTCCAGCTGCAAAAGCGCCGCCTCGCGGGAGCGCTGCTCCAAAGAGCGCGGGGGAGAAACGCTCAAAAAAAAAACAGCCGCAAAGTTTGCACCAACCAAAAAGACCTATGAACTTCCCCCAAACAAAACGAGCTTTTCCACGTGTTTCTATGTCTTTTCCACGTGGCTTCCCCCCCCCATGGCGCTTCCCTCCGCTTCCCGCCCGAACCCCACGCCTCCAAAGCCCGGCCGGTGGCCCAGGTGGCCTTCACAGAGCTCGCGTTGCACGAGATGCGGCGCCGCGCCGCCTGGCACTCCTCCCGCAGCCGCCGGACCTCCGGGCCGCGGGAAACCGTTTGTGTTCTATGTTGTGTTTGGTCTTTTTTCTATTATTGTTTTTAATTATATTATATATATATATATATTATATTTATTTTAGATGGGCGGACAGGCTTCGAAGCCAGGTAGGTGCCAGGTGGCCATGGGTCAAAATCCAAATCGTACCCCCAGGGAACATCCGATTCAATCCAACCACTAAAATAGGTTCTAAAGTGGGTGGTGAATTCACCTACCAACCGAAATGGTACCATTGGTTTTGACCCACAGCCAGGTAGGTGTGGTTGCTGCTTGCTGCCAATTCCGGTTCTGACCCACCATTGGTTTTGACCCACAGCCAATTTCCGGTTCCTGTTTGCTGCTTTTGTGTCTGCTTTTCTAAGGGAGCACTGCTTTAAATGCTTTACTTTTTTGTTTACGAGGGTTTATGGGCGGTTGCCCTCACACACGTATGAACTTTGAGTGGAACAGTCCAACACACATCGACCGCGTCAAAACCATTTTCTCAGTTCGTCCGCCTGGGACTTTTCCTCGGCGCGGGGGCGGTTGCAGGCCGCATCCAGCGCCAGCTTCGTGAGGGCCTTGGCACGCAGCAGCGTGCTGCCCTGGGAGGGCAAGAAGTCGGCCGGCCCCTGGCTGAGGTGGCTGTGGGTCAAAAAACCGGTAGCAGAATGGAACCCTGGTAAGTGGAAACATGGACAGGACTTGCGGTCCCCTGGTGGTTGAATTTTGAGCCATACCCAAGTATGGGACTGCCATGGACCCCATGAAACGCCACGCGAACAAAAGGCATGGCTCAACTTTTGCGCTGAGATGTGTGGAGAATAGTCACTGGCTTTGTCCAGGGTAGGGGTCCCTTTTGCATGTCAGATGCATCCGGCTCAAGGGTGAGCCTTTCGCCCCCGGCCTTTGGGCACTCCGTGGGCGCATCGCCATCTGTGTCCTCATTGGGCAGCTCAGAGCGCCGCGAGCCCAACGAGCCCTCGGGACCCACATCGTCGGCGACGGTGCTGGCGGCCGAAGGGGACATGGGCACGAAGCACTCGTCATAGGCCACCGGCTCCATGGCGCTTTCGGCCGCCGCTCGCCCGAAGCTGAGCCGGGCTTGACGGACCCTACCCCACGTACATGGAAGCTGAAAGGGACCCCTGGAAGGCCATGTTCCTGCAACATGTCATCTTCCATGCTTGTTTTTGGGACTTTGTGTGTGGCTTGGAACCCAAAGCAGTTAGCCGCTGTGTCATAGCCAACGCTTTCCCATGCTCAAAGGTACCGCATTGTGCCAGAACCATGAAGAGCCTCAAGCTTGCCCCGCACCAGCCTTAATACGGGACAAACATCACTTGCCCGTGCGAATCAAGAAACCCATTTTCGTGGGCAAACCGCATGAACACCCTGCTTCTGAGCGGGGCAAATGATTTCTGCACATGCTCCATTAGAACATGACATTTGTCGCTAAGCATGCGCAGCTTGGGGTTTGCAAACCCCCCATGAAAGGGGCTTCCTTCTCTGTTCCCAGAAACTTCGAGCAGAGATGAACATGGACTTCAAAATGCAAACCAACGAGCACCCTCAACACACGCACCCAGCCTTGTGATTTTGGGTCGAAGTCGACGCCTTGAAAACTGCAGCTGCTGGCCTGCAGGAATGCAGGAAGCGCCCATTAGCATAGATGAAGCCTCGTGACTGGGTAGATGCCATCTGCTGCTGCATGATTGGTTGTTCTTGGGAATGAACCTTTCTGTGAAAGGTAAACCTGGAACCTTTCCCGCGAGGAACATGGCGCTCGAAGGCCCTGTTTGTGACTCAAAACTAGGTGGGAAAGGAGCCAAGATCCTCCAAATCAGCTGGTTAATCCACTGATCCAACTGTATCTTTCTAAGGGACGTGTCACACCAACCCCCGGTAAGATGGATACCCAAAGAGCACAAGGGACGGCCAAGGCTGCACAGCAGGTTTCGGCTTGAGCGAGCAACATGAAACCAACGACTATTGTCAAGTTCAACGGGATGGATGGACTTGGATTCTGCCTGGCCAGAAGAGTACAGCTACACGAATGCTGCTGATATTGGTTCGTGCCGGGCGCAAAGCGAGGCCCAAAACGGCACGGAATCCCCATAGCCAACTGGAGAGGTTCCATAGCTGGTGGTTTACTACAGCTTCCCGACAATTGAAAGGGAGCAAGGGCCTAAGGGAAGCCATGGACTTCACCGTTCCTGTTTGGTTTACTTGGCATTGAGGGATCCCTACAAATGCTCGGTTTCGTGCTGCACCTCGTATGGAAGTGGACAAAGTGTCGGGGACCTCCAGCCTGGAAAGGCCCCTCCACTTCCATGGTTACCCTCCCCCATTGGTTCCATTTACAGAGGCAACTTGTGGGGGAGCTTCCATGTTAGTCTGAGGGAGGAGGCCATCCTTTGAGGACCGATGACCTCTGGCTCTATCAGACCTCCGACTCCGCCTGCGAATTGAGGCGCATGGGCTGCAACGCGTCCACCCGGCTCTCAAGGCTCTGCAACCTGCGCCGGTTTCAAGCGAAATCGCCGGACATGCGACTTGTGGCTGAAGCGCAGAATTCCGGCTTGTTTGGGTTACCCCAAAAGACTTCTGCCTAGGGTTTCTAGTTGGAATATCTGGGCTTGAGTCCCTTGGAAAAACTCCTGAAAAAACCAACTGGTGAAGGTCTGGGTTCAGCACCTGTAGTGTGCGTAAAGCGACTGATCTTGGGATTTGGGATTTTGGTTCTGCAGGCTTTGTGTTCCAAGCGTGTCTCTATCGCCGGTTGCTCGCGCTTGGCAGCGCCGAAGAAAGGAATCATGAGATGGGCCATGGGTGTCAAACAGACTGAATAGGGGACTCTCTGGTGGACATCAATTAGGTGGGGATTCATGTCCACCAACCACTTTTTGGGTGATTCCTCTACCCAGCAAATCTATCCTGCACCATGGATTGCAGCGAGATGAAGCTATCGCGCCCATTAATGCCCTGTTCAGCCCTATTGGGCCTCACTGGGCACCATGTCGGGCGATTTGGGCTCAAAGCGTTGGATTTGGATGAGTTGACCAAGTGCATGTTGTGTAACATCCTCGAGCTTGACGGCTACCAGGCCCCCATTGGGCGGGCGCCATGAGACGCAAGCAGGAAACCCCACAGAAAGACGGAAATCGCCAGTGGCCTAGATAAGTTCAAAGGCAAAGTGAGAGCAGCTGTTTTGCCAGGTCCCTCTCTAGCCCCCCTCTTCTGGCCCATTTTCAAGTTCATGAAGTTCATGACTCAGTGCATTGCTATAATGGGTTCCCTCCACCTGGTATGCCATCAAGCAGCGCTGCCGCAAAGTGGCTCCAGGGCAGCACTGGGAGCGAGCATTCCATGAGTATGGGGACCTCCCATCTGGAACCCCGGGTTTCCACAGTACATTCCCACAATGGGTTCCCTCCTATATATGGTATTGCGTACCGCTTTTGGGCTTCCGTTTGCGGAAACCAAGTTGATGGGCTATTCCGACCCCGTGCATGGGTATGGGAGCCTCCTCCCCTGCCCTATCCTTCCTTCCCTCCCGCCCTGCCTGGGGTCCAGGGAGCTGATCACTGCCTCCGCCACCGCGCTGGCGGCCTCAAGGCCGGCGAAGGCCGACGCGCATACGGGGGCCGGGCTCGTTGGGCGGGGTCCACTGGCGTTTTTGCTGCGTGGCGATGGGTAAAAGCTGGGAAAATGTTGGGGGTAGACCTAAAATCTGGGGAGAATTTGGAAACTGGGCATAAAATGTGGTACAGGGGTTCTGGAAAAATTGGGTAACTCTGCCCATCCCCTTTGAGCGTCATTGAGTTAGGAGAAACTGCCATGATTCACAGAACGACAATATGGAATGCTCGGACCTTCATCATGGGTAAACTCGCATGACGTCCTTGCAATGCATGCAAATCGGTGTCTTTTCTAGTTTCAGCTTGCTTGACCGACCGATTGCGGTTCTTTGGTCGTTAACGTCGTGCCAAGGGTGTACAAAGACAACCAGTGCCCATGGAATTCAAGGAAATCACATTTTGCTTGCAAGAAGACAGGTGCAGTATTTGCAGTACATGCAAAGGGTTGAAAAGCTGACCCTGAGCGAACCGACTTTCACTTCCCTTTAGCCATTCCCTTGTGCGCAACGTTCAAGCCCATCAAGCTTCACTTCTGCGTCGGGAAATCTAAAAGAATAAAGAGAATAAACAAACAAGTAGCACTCCTTTCTGAACGGATCATAATTTGCCTTTCTGGCTTCCATGAGTAAGCTTGCCACTCCAACCCCCCAGCAGTGGCCCACCAGCATGGGAACTGGTCTACCCTAAACCATCATATCCCTTCGGTTCAGTCCGCCTCCAAACCGCTACCGCTATGTAGACAACCCGAGCTGAAAGGGCAGCGAGCTGATTTGGCCATGGGTCAAAATCCAAATCGTACCCCCAGTGAACATCCGATTCAATCCAACCACTAAAATAGGTTCTAAAATGGGTGGTGAATTCACCTACCCACCAAAATGGGATCCCAAAACGGATTTGAGCACCACAGGCATTTGAGACCTTCGCCAGTCTCGCGCCTCGATGGGCAGCACGGTGCGCTCGGGGCGCTCGCGCTCGGGGCGCTCCGCACGCTCGGCTGGCTCCCTGGGCTTCGCCAGCAGCGCCTTCGGGAGGCGAGGCGAAAGCTCGGGAGACGAAGAGGCGAAAGCGCGGGGAGAGAACGGGCTGCAGGAGAGGAGGAGAGGGCGAAAGAGGAGGAGGAGGAGGAGGAGGAGGACCAAGGAAGGGGTTCTTGAAGCCCCTTGCAGGTGGCGCACACCCTCTCTATAGCAGACTCCTTCCCCAATATGGCACTCCTTGCCCTAGACACGGAAATGAGTTGGAGAACGAAGCCAAAAGCCATGAACCGGAGCCCCAACTCCGCGCCAGGCCTTTGGTGCATTTTACTGCGGAGCTTGCCGGTCGAATCAAGACCCAGGCGAAACCAAACAAAAACCAAGCCTCTGAGGCAAACAAGCTTGGGAGCAAACAAACAACCAAACCCGGCTACAACAACCAACCAACCCATCCACCCCTGCCAAAAAGAAAACATACAAAACACACACACAACACACACACACACACACACAACACACACACACACACACACACACGACCAAGCCCGCAAACCGCCCCAGAACCGCACCCACCCCCCCTCCCCCGCCTCTAGGCGCGCCAGGCGGACCTCCAAGGACTGGCCCAGCGCCTCTTTGAGCGCCGGCACCAGCGCCTGCAGCAAGGTCTCCGCCAGTTCGGTCACGCCCTCCTCACGCTGGGGGCCCATGCGCATGGGGCGCATGGACACATGGGGCGCGTGGGACCCGGTGTGGTGTTTACAGAAAACCGTCCTCCATAGGTCCAGAGCGATCGATTTGGGATTGGTCGCAATTAGAATGGAATCAACCAACCTTCTAAGGTTTCGCTGGCTCCCCGGTAGGATGGCTCCATTTCGGGGGAACATTCTGACTCAAACGGTTCCCCCTCCATGTATCACCCAAAATCAACCAAACAAATCCCCTTTGGGGCAGAAAAAGCTTCAAAAAAAGGAGACGGCGGGACTTCTGGAGGAAACCACGAGCAGAGCGCTTCCGTCCAAACCGTTGTCAAAACCTTGGACGGCTCATTTGGCTTCCTAAAGTTGGAATCGGACCTGGGCTTGCCCGAAACATCGAAACTCGAGAGTTAAGAGCTAGGTGCAGCTGGCCTTTGGGCCTTCGCATGGATTTGACCCCCACGAAATGACGTGGAGTGAAATCGCCCATACTGGCTTGGCATAGTCCAGCTGACTCCAAGCGGCTTGGAGTCTATTTGTTGGGTTGAGCCCTTGGATCGGAACTACCACAATGAAGCCCGGTCAATACTCTGTCAAGGTGACCTTCTCATCATGGAAGCGGCGAAATTGTCCCAAGAAGGACTCCCAAAGGAGTTTCTCCAGCCGGTTTTCAGGTTCCAGTTCCAAGAAAACATGCAAATAACTGCTGGGAGATCCAGCAAACCAAAGAGTGGAACAGGGAGATCCGGAACCCGG